TTTAGGGTTCAGGGTTGAGGGGTTCCTTTACAAAGTTCCATAGGGTTGAAAGGTGTAGTGTTTGGGATGTTCAGGGGTGTTCCTTTGAGGGTCCTCTAATGGTTCTAAAGGGATTTAGGATTTCGGGTCTACCTGGGGGTCATGTGTAGCTACTGTATTAGTGCGGTTATAATCTAAGTCGCCGAATACGGGTTACTATAGGGGCCTTAAGAATTAGAAAAGGGTTTTGGGGCCCATTATACTATACATATAATGAGGAACCCCCAAAATAGTATTGGTAATTATTTAAGCCCCTACATCATAAGTATAGCTACCCTACTTGAAACGCACTTATAACAATCCGCGAACCTCCGAGTTGGAGCTACTCGTAGACTCGTTGACGGTTTCCCTAAAGCTACATGTACCTACTTAAGCCGTAAGGTACCTATAAAGGAACCCTTGTAAGGCCTAAGTAAGTACTACAAGGATACGTAGAGCGATGGGGTTGGATGTGACTCTGTAGGCAGTTTCAGTTCTTCAGGGGGGTTTCGAGTTTGGGATGCAAAAAAGCATCTTTCCCTATAAGACTTCTATAAGGTAGATAGACCTTCCATAAGGCTCCTATAACGGCAACAAAATGTCCGGAGTTCAGGCCCGTATTCTCTTCTCTTCAGCGAGCATGCCTGTCGATTGCACGACGAGAAAAAGTGCCTCCGACCCCAAAGGGCCCCAAGTATGCAACTAGTACCTATGACGTGGAGGCCTAAAGGGGTTTTGGGTTTAGGGGTTTAGGGGTTTAGGGCTTAGGGTTTAGGATTTAAGTCTATAGCTCGTACCTACTTTGGGCCTAAACCCTAAACCCTAGAGCCTCAGCGTGGATAAACACCCTAAACCCGTAAACCCTAAACCCCAGGCTGGATAAAGACCAGCACAATACTGCAGCAAGTCCCTGTAGCATGAGACTTGCATGCCGTAGCCCCTCGCTAAATCCGGTGTAGGGTTGAGTTGGGTTTCGGGTTTCGGGTTTAGGGTTTAGGTTGAGTTAGGTTTCGGGTTTAGAGATGTTGAGGGGCCGCTGAACCGAGCACCCCAAAGATTGTAGACATTGTACCTACTCTGGTGTTCTGCAGTCTTTCAATAATGAATAGTACCCACCTTGGGCTAGTTGGAGCCCCAGATTTAAGGGCCCTCCACCTTAAACCCTTAACCCTAAACCTTGAACCAGAAGTCCTGAAACCTAAACCCTTACTTTGGGGTTCCTTATTATATCTATAGTAGTAGTGTATATATATATATATATACACACACACACACCCAAACCCTATTCTATCTATGAAGGCCCCTAGATTACCCACCTTAAATCAGGAACCCCGGGCACTGCAACCGAAACCTGGTCGGGTTCATTGTTGGGGGCTTAGAGTTCTCGGTTTAGGATTTTGGGTTTAGGGTTCAAAGGATCAAGAGCTCAGGGTTTAAGGATTAGGGGTTTAGGATTTTGGGTTTAGGGTTCAAGGGTTCAAGGCTTCAGGGGTTCAACGTTCAGGGTTTAGGGTTTATAGGGGTTTAGGATTTTGGGTCTAGGGTTCAAGGGTTCAAGGGTTCAGGGGTTCAGGCGTTCAGGGGTTCAGGGTTTAGGGTTTAGGGGGGTTGAGGGGTTCCGGGTTTAGGGTGGAGGGTTACGGGCAACCTCAAAAATCTCTGAGTGCCTCGTGCTTCGCAACTTCCGATGCACGCGCCCGAGTGACCTGAAAAAGGCTTAGTCAAAGTTTGGGGCCCTAAGCCCGGATTTAGGGTTAGGGTTTAGGGTTTAGGGTTTTGGGTTTAGGGTCTAGCGGTAAACTCGAAATCGAAGGGTTTGCAGAAAAGTAGGGCCCAGGTTTGAAAGGTTTGGGAGGCTTGACTCAGGGCCTTTTGAATCACCCTAAACCAACTGGCGCCCATAACCCTAAAGCCCCCTACACAGCCCTAAACCCTACTTGGAGGGTCGGGGGACTTAGTGAATGGTTATCTTATAGACTTCTAAGTACTATAACCCCAATTAGGGTCCCTTTTAGGGTACTTACAAGTCTACTTGTTACCTACTTACTAAGTCTCCCGACCCTAAACCCTAAACCCCTAACCCCTCAACCCTAACCCCTAAACCCTAAACCCCTAAACCCTAAACCCTAAACCCCTAAACCCCTAAACCCTAAACCCCTAAACCCCTAAACCCTAAACGGTAGGTCTCCCGACCCTCCAAGTATAGGCCTTCATTGTGCACCGAAAATCGTCTCGGAACCGAAACCTATCAGGCTCCAAACTTCTGCGGAACCCAGCCCCAGACCCCCAAAAGGTTTAGGGTTATAGATCCCCTAAGGGGGTTCCTATAAAGTACCCTTTAGTAGTTAGGGTCTCTAATTAGGGGATCTATTTTTTAGATCCTTTTGGGGGTCTGGGACACTGTCTGCTTTGTCCCGAAGCCTGCGGCCCTAAGCTGGAAAGGTGTACGGTTTGGGGGTTTTGGGGTTTAGCGTTCAGGGGCCTGGGGGTTTAGAGTTTGTTTATGGGCTTAAGGCAACTCCTAAATCAAAAGCCCTCCCCGAAACTCCTGCCCTCATCTTTCCCGGAGCCCTGCATTCCTAACTTCCGAAAGCCTCAACCCCAAGCCAAGAAACCAGTCCGACAATCCTAAAATCGAAACCCGATCCTCTAAACCCCAACAGCCTACAGCCCAGTGGATCCCACATAAAAAACTCTCTAGAAACATAGATGCCCTAGTCTAAACCCCTCAAGTAGTCCGAAACATCCGAATGACTGCTTCGATCGGGCTACTGCTCGAGAGAGCCGCGTCTGCGAGGTGTTCGTGTGGTTGGCAGGTCCCTCCTGCCACCATGACACTGCAAAAGCCCTTCAAGACCAAAACATATGGGAGTTTCCGAAAATAGGGGGCACCTTATTTGGGGGTCCTTATAATTTGGATCCTACTATTTGGGTACTATATTAGGGTCCCCTATCTTAGGAAACCCCCATATTCCTCAAACCAAATCAAAGATCCCCTTCTCTGTATACCCTATAGACCCTAAACCCCTTATTCAAATCACATCACAGATCCCTTTCTCTCTATATACCGTTCTAGACCCTAATAAACGCCCTTGAAGACTCCCAAACTCGAAACAAGGAGCCTTCCTCAAATCATATCAAGGATCCCCCTATCCCAAAAACACTAAACTCTGAACCCCCTTAACCCTAACCCCTAACCCCTAACCCCTAAACCCTAAACCCTAAATCCGAAATCCCTAAACGCCTAAACCCCCTAAACCCCTAAAGCCCCCTAAACCCTAAACCCCTAAACCCTAAACCCTAGCTTGGCGGGCCTCTGGAGCTCAAAGTTCAGGCATGAGGTCACCAGGAAACTTCGGGGGCCACGCCACTGAACACTTTATTTGGGCGTAAAGCTTAGGGCCTTTAGGGTTTAGGGTTTGAGGCGTTTAGGGTTTAGGGCTTTAGGCGTTTAGGGTTTAGGGGCGTAAAGTTTAGGGTTAAGATGGCCCCTCGCCTGATAACTCTATGAAAACCACGAACAATAAAAATTGAAAAGAAATGGAAAAATAATGGAACCAAAAATCAAAACAAGAGACCAGGACCCACCCAGGGAATGGAAAAACAACCAA